TTTTTTCATCAGTCCTATGAAATTCATTTTTATTCTCTTCGATGAGAAAACAAAGATTTGGAAAAAGTTAAACAAGGTATTAGAGTGTGGTGGTGAACAGGAATTTGAAGTTATGTTTGTCTCCAAAGCCCATGTTCTTAGCCACAGTTAAGTTTTTACATTTCAGTTTGCCCTGATAGATTCTAAGTGTGTGGAGCACAGGAACCTTACCTTTTTATCTCTGTATCACAGGGTGTAACATGGCGCTTTACACATATGTGCTCAGCAAGCTTTTGTTGAATGAATGAAAGTATCAAAAGCTTTCCTGATGAGGCAACCTCCTCACTGTACAAATCCTCAGAAAAGATGTTATCCAAATGCAACTTAAGCCAATACTTCACTGTGAACCAATTAATAGGACATACAAAAGTATCTCTTTGGAAATATGCTTTAAGAAAAACTTGACTGTGTTTGTAAACCTTCAAGTAGCAAATCTGAGAGGGAGGATATCAGATGAAGGAAGGGATTCATCTAATTCAAGGGACCTGAATTTTGCAAGAATCTAAGGATTTGTTTGCAAATGGCTTCTGGTGGAAAATTCACTGTACATTCCAAATAGGATTAAATGCATTGCTTAGGGCATGTCCTATGGAAAAATCTTGGGTAGTCATCTGTTTTTCGTTGTTGATAAAAAACTCAAAGTACAGGTAGGATCCTTCGCTGAAGGCAATTTAACTGTGTCTTTTTGTTGCCTGTTGTGTTGCCTTAAAAATCTCTGAAGATTAGACATAGAAGCAAAGTATTGAATAGAAACCACATGGCATCTTTTATTTTTTATTTTTTTATCCTCACCCAAGGACATGTTTGTATTCATCCTCGGATAGAGCGGGAGGGAGAGAGGGAGGAAGAGAGAGAGAGAAACATCAACATGAGAAAGATACATCGAGTGGTTGCCACATGTCCCCAACCAGGGCTGAGGACAAACTGCAACTGAGATACATGTCATTAGTGGAAACCGAACCTGGGACGCTCTGGCTGATGCTCTAACCACTGAGCAACCCGGCCAGGGCCCACATGGCATCTTTTAAAGGAAAATACTATGCACACATTAAACTAACCCCTTTGCATGTAGTTTTGTGAGTCGACCTTGCATCTTTGTGATTTGCAGACACCAGGAAATCTTGTGGTCCTTTGAATCTCTATTCTAGCTCAGCTTTTCCCCATTATTCCTTTTATTTAGTGCATTCCCCCCCTTTTTTTATTCATTCATTCATTCCCACAACCTTTTGGGGGGCTCCTTTATATTTCTTGATACTCACTATCACGAGAAATGTAAACCGAAGATGTTGTCTCAGGTTGTTAAGAAAATTGCATTTGCGCCCTGGCCGGTTTGGCTCAGCGGTTAGAGCGTCGGCCTGTGGTCCAGAGAGACCTGGGTTTGGTTCCCGCTAAGGGCATGTACCTCGATTGCAGTTTGTCCCTGGCCCTGGTTGGTGGTGCGGGTGGCAACTACTCGATGTGTCCCTTTCACATCGATGTTTCTCTCTCTCTCTCTCTCCCTCCAACTCTATCTGAACAAAAAATGAAAAGGTGTCCTCGGATGAGGATTAAAAAAAAAAGAAAGAAATGTGCATTTGTGTGATGTACACAAAAGGAAAATAACTGTGATATAGAGTAAGGCGTGTACTTACGTGGACATGTGTGTCTATGGAGACTCTGGAGGTGGGGGTCTGTGTACCTGGAGGAGTATGAGCAGGTACTGTTGGCTGGTCTTTGGAAGATGAGTGTGTATCTCCTCCCCTGGACTGCGAGCTCTTGGGTTTCAGGAATCATGCCTTTGTCACCTTTTCAGCCACCACAGCACAAAATCATCCTTGGATCCTATTTCCAGCTCAACAAATATTTACAGAATTGAATAAGTATGATCTTTGTGTAAAACTTCCTTTCCTGATTTGTCAACAAGATGATAAGACGGACTAGTAACACATGTGGGTTCCAGCTGGTTCTGAACCTGGTGTCACCGTGTGTTCGCCACGTGGCCTGGGTTGTAATGTGAGTTTTTATGTCGCCGACACTTGGCACTGAAGATACAGAGGAGAATACTACAGGTTCCACTCTCGATCCCCCAGCCTCTCTTATTTCCTCTGTCACATGTCCAGGTCTGTGCTGGATTAGACAGAAATTTAAACATAATCCTAGGACTCGTTATAGGAAGAAAAACTGGTGACATTTTTTTTTGTCCATGTCCTTTGAGATGGCTGAGAACCTGTGTGATGTGCCAGGCTCACTGTGATTTATCAGAAACTCTTGAGAGAGAGAGTTAGATTCCTCGGGGGGCTCACCGGACCCCGTCCCCGGAGCATCTGCCTTGTTTGTGTGCCTGTGGCGAGTGCTGACTGGGAGAAACAGATCTCTGAGGACAAAGGCAGCCATAACCCATTTATAATTTTTAAAGCTCCCAAAATGTCACCGCAAAGCCTCCAGGTGTGCTCTGGATGTCTTTGGCTTCAGTTATACACCTTGCACCCAGAACTGAACCGTGCAGCCTTGTGACCAGGTGCCAGTGCGTGAGCCCTGGCTGTGCCCAGCGAGCCCCTGGCAGTGCAGCTCCCCGACGAGGGGCATCTCCACTCCTCCGTCCTCTTCGGTGTGAGCCAGGGACTGCGCGTCTTGGGGGAAAGTTGTCGATGTGTAACCGTGTGATCGCCTTCACTCCCTACGAGAATCCTGCACAGATAACTTCGGTCCTGCTGGATCACGGAAACTTTTACTGCTGTCCCTTATCATTTCATCTTGGGAATAAAAATATCTGCGAACATTTTCCATATTTGCACATCATTACTCCTCCTCCTGCTAGAAATTGCCTGTGGACTCAGGGGCTGGAGGAATTATTTGTAACGTGTTCAAATATTTTTATCCTCCAAATCGGGGTGGTTTTGAGAGTGAGGGGCACAGGTGTAAACCAGGCCTGTCTCCGGCCATCTAGGACCTGGGATTTTCTGTTTATTTGAAAAGCTTTTGCGTCTGTATTTCCTGGCTCCCCACAACACCGACGGTGGCTAGATGGTTGTTACCTAAATACTGTGGGCAGTCTAGCAGAGACGGGGTCTGCGGGCGTCTGACTGCCTTTCCAGGAGCTTTGGAAAGAAACGCCTGAGGTAGAATTTGTAGCAGCTGCACTGCAAAGAGTCCTTTGAGCCGAACACAGAGAACTTACCTTTGAAAATCAGTCTTCTGGGCACGCGTGTGTTCCTTGGTAACGCGTCTTCCAAAAACACCGAGCTGACCTCCTGACCTAGGGTCAGCCCGCCTCTCGGTGCAGCCTTGCCTCCAGTCACTTCTCTCTTTCAATGTTTGAAAATTTTAGTGATTCAAGGTACGTCCTGCAGAATCACACACCCATAGCATTTCAGAGATGACAGCGTCCTTGTTGCAAACTCATTTTCTGGGGATGTGGAGTCAGTGTCCACACAACCGGACTCCAGGGCTGGAAGAGACATAGAGGCGCTGGGTCCCAAGGGCTGATTGCCTTTAGAGACCCAGGGGACGCTGTGTGTCAAAGGACTGCATGGACCCAGTCACACGCGCCCCAAGGAAGAAGACGGCAGTTGGCAGAAAAGCTAAAGCTAATGCTGGAGATGCCCGGGATAAAGAGCTGCACCTTTTCTCTCTCGACGTGGCTGGGATGCCAGGAGATGAGAGTGACAGGTTTCACACTCCATTTGCAGCTCTGTGCACAGCTCAGGACTTGGCTGCGTAATAGAACCACTGGTAGCTGATTGCCCTGAGCTGATGCCTACAGCAGGGAACCAGCGAAAATGACCCCTCAGAGGGTTTTAATCATTATGTGTTATATCCCAATGTTAATTAGATTTCTATTCATATAAGACTGCCAGGGTTCAGATATTTCAGGAGAGTGAGGGGATGATTCCCGGCCAACAGTGGCTGTATTCCAAGAAATAATTACATGGAAGGGATGAGCTGACCTTGGCATCGTTATTGACAGCTCCCCTTTCTGCAAAGGTGTCATCTCTTCCGGCTCGGAGGCGGCCTTTGGGCTGGAGAATCTGTACCTGATCCAGGTGCTGCTGATTCTGAAAAGCATGATGCTAGCGCAAACCAAGCCCAGAAGACTTTCCTTCAGCAGGAATGACTAAAGAATGAGGATCTCGGATTGATTGTAATAAATCAAGTCCTCTCGTAAATCAGAAGTTTTAAAAGAATTAGCACAGCAGTTCCCAAACTTAGCTCCCCAGAACACTAGTTTCCAAGATATTAAGGGATCCCCTGAGACAGCACTCTAAGAAGCATCAGTTTAACACTATCAGATCCAGAGTTTACGCAACTTATCCGTTCACGGATATGATCAAAGAATACCAAGTAGTATCTGGAATTACTACTTTGGAATTATTTATTTGTTTATTTTTTTCCTCACCCGAGGACATTTTTGCATTCATCTTCAGATAGAGCAGGAAGGACAGAGGGAGGAAGAGAGAGAGAGAGAAACATTGATGTGAGAGAGACACATCGACGGGCTGTCACCCACATGACCCCAACTGGGGCTGGGACCGAACTGCAACCGAGGTACACACCCTTAGCGGGAATCGAACCTGGGTCCCTCTGCTCCGAGGGCCGATGCTCTAATGGCTAAGCCAAATCGGCCAGGGCTATTTTGGAAGTATTGAATCAGAGAAAAGGTGTGTGCACTCCATAACGGGTTTGTGCCAAACATTTCCAGTTTGGTTTGTGATGATGACATTTTCTACAGCGTGTGCCGTTGGGAATGTCTTCACGGCCATCCGCTCTCCTTCACTGTTCCATACACAGCAAAGCATCCGAACAGGAGGCTTCCCATGTGGATTCCGGGGGAAACGGCATTTGGTTCTCCCTGTAACTTGCATCTTAGGTGACTAACCGGTTTTAATTGATATGTTGACATGAGCATGTTTTAGGTGTTTGCTGAAAGGTTAGTGTCGAAAGAAATTAATGTCCTGGTGGGCTTGTGTTTTTCTCTGAGGCAGATATTGATGAATGTACAGAGGGAATCATTGAGTGCCACCACCATTCCCGCTGCGTTAACCTGCCAGGGTGGTACCACTGTGAGTGCAGAAGCGGTTTCCATGACGATGGGACCTATTCACTGTCCGGGGAGTCCTGTGTTGGTAAGCAGCCTTCAGCCCTGCCCTCCATCCATCAGGACCTTTGCAGGAGGGGCAGCCGGCGTCCATACTCAATTCCATTCCCAGGGTTAAAATATGACCCCTCACTGGCTAAACCCATCTGTGTTCAAATTTCCTCCTTCTGCAATTCAGGGATTGGGCCAGGGATTATGCAGCGTGGGGTTTTTGAATTTTTATACAGAAACGGGGGCAGACAAAGCCTGGGTCTGCATGCTAAGGCGTTTGGTTCTTTCTGAAGGACACCATGGTGGCTTGCTAGCATTTTTAGCTGTTTGAGACACAGATGTGGGAGAGAAGGAAATGTGGCTGGAAAATTGAGTGTCAATCTCAGCTTTTGCACGGCAAAGGCCACTGCCCTTCTCTGAGCCGTCATCTGTAAATATGTAAAAATGTAGATAATACTACGCATGCACTGTTAGGATTCAATGGGATACCAGATATGTAAAGATGGTTTGCTTTGGATCGATGCACCAACATGCAGTGGTGTGAACTTATTGTTGCTCTTAGCACCAGCATCCTCACAAGGTCCCCTTGAATCACTGTTCTGCTGGTGGGTCTATTAAATGCTGAATGGAGGAAGTTAACAGATGGGGTTCTTCACCTTCAAGACCTCACAGCTTCCGTGAAATCCAAACAGCTGATCAAAAAGTAATTGTTTCTATGAGAATCTTGGCAGGTTCAGTTACTTCACATCATATGGACTCAGCTGAATTCTTAATGCCGATTTGGACAGACCCAGTGGGAAGGTGTGCTGACCATGGGTTGCCAGAGCTCAGACTGCTGAATTAGAATTCCTTGTCTCTGCTCATTTCGTATCTCGCTTTTTAAAGGTCGCTACAGAAATCCACTTGTGTTTTTCTAATGTCTCCCCTGAGATTGCCTTGAAGAGAAGATGAATTAGGGACCAGTGGGCAACAGCATGAATTATCTAGCAGGGTTGGCGTTACTGTTGAGAGGCCTGCAGTGTAGTTGTTGAAAGCATGGACCCTTGAGCCGGATTCCTTGCAATCCCCTTCCCTGCCACGTCTAAGTAGGTTACCGTGGGCAAAGTCTGACCTAGTTTCTACCTCGGCGTTCTCGTCTGCAAAATGGAAATGTTCATATCTAGCTCATAGGAGTGTTGTGAGAATTAATTGCATTGACATCTGTTAAATGTTCAATAGGTGTTCGTTATCATGATCTTAAATGTTTCTGCCTATTCAGCACTCTGCCCCATACTCTGTCCATGTTTCCTTGATGGTCCATGCAACCTCAGCGAGAAGTTTGCATGTATCCTGGGTCTTCATATTCTTGCTTTCCACGCAGCTGGGAAATTCTGCGTGTGTGCAGCTCAGTGTAAACAGATGTTCTGGGAATAGGACCAGATCAAACAGCTCGTGTGTCGCCAGGCCCTCAGGAAGAATTCTTCGATGTCTTCATAGGACATCACTCCTCCCCTCTGCTAACTAGAGCTTTTTCTGGTGTGTGTTTCTACAGCTTCACCAATACACCAGCATGTACCTTATGTGCTCTCTGCTGGACTGTGAGCACGAAATAGGCTTTATTCTTCTGTCTCTCCAATGATACCCGTTGGTAGTCGGTGATCGATAAATGAGAAAAAGGCAACCATCATGTGCCTGATGAGGAAACACAGTCAAAGAAAGGATGACATCTTGCTCCCTGCCACATAGGTGTTTTCATGCTGTGGAGACTCAAGCCTCAGTCAAGGGTGACTCTGCATCCCAGATCCCAGGGACAGTCCTCATTTATACCTGTCGTTCTGGTGCAATTATCGATTGCATCAATTAGTGCCCTGCCACTCTCATAAATGTCCCTGATAGGATGACAGATGCTATGGTCCCCTCACCTACTGACTTCTCTGTGCATTGCTGAGTGGTGTGCCCGGGGTGGGGTGGGGGACGGAACTGATCCCTGTTCTGCGCAGGGAAACCTTAGCCAACTGGGTTCCTTGGCGAGGGAACAGAGTTGTTTTTCTTAGTGGCTTTTCTAACTTGAGTAATTGTTCATCTGAATTCCCTTTTATTCCCACACTTTTGGAAATATTTTTATAAATGGCTCTTAATAAGAACAGAAATATGAGCACCAGTTAGTTTTTCTTTGGTGGTTCAGGGAACTCTGTTGGTTCAGAATTACTTCTCGACGGAAGAGATGTATACATCAGATCGTGTCACTTCTTTGTTTCAACCTTCTATTCCCTTCCCACTGAATCTAAGATATGTTTCTAACTTCTTCAAGGCTAACTTTTGGACTCCCGCCCTATATATATGTTAGCCTGTTTGATCTTTTCACACTTTGAACATGACACTGAACTCACCCAGTTTCAGGGACTTTGCTGTTCTCTGGGTCTGAAACACTCGCCTCCTGTCTAGTCATATGACTTGGTTCTTTTTTTCAAATTTAATTCTAAACTACAGTGCCACTTCTTAAAGAGATCATCCCTGACCATTCTGTCTGGAGTATCCTTCCCCAGTGACGTCATTGTGTCACTCACTCTCTTCCACATCTTCCGAAGCATTTTCTTATTCCCACGTTGACCCTGCACACACGTGCGTGGAATGGTCTTCTGCCACAAACGTGCGCAATGAACGATGGAAAGGACAGACCATCAAAACATAGCAGGTCAGGTTTGTTTCTATTTAGTTTGATGCAACTTGCTCTGTAGAGTGTGGTGCAAAATGCGATATGTTCAGTGTCACAAAATCATGTGTCTGGTCATTCAGAAAAAGGTATTTATTGAGAATAGCCATCGTGTCAGCATGGCCTACGGGAATATAGGTTTGAACAAGGAAAGATGTCATCCTTGAGGGACTTATGACCAGAAACACTGTGAATTGTAGAACATATCTCAGTGGCACTGAAAATGATCCCATCAGACTAAGCCCTGAATAACCTCAGCTACTGATGCTTACATTTAAAGCACAGCATCGGAAACAATCTTTTAAAACACTGTTTAAGTGTGTCAGTGACATGTACTCAGCTATGCTTCCCCCCAGATAACAGCAGGAATGGCATATGTTAGGGACCCAAATGTGGCAGTTTTAGGCTTTCTGGAGAATAGTTTCATGGCACTCGATGCCGCTTTTTTGTCAGATGAGGATAATATCACCCGTTCTATTGACTTGATCAGTTACTGTAAGCATCGGATGTTATTGATGTCATAAAGAACAGCACCTGGCGAGACAGACTATTTCGTGACTAAAAATGTTTAAGATTTGCCTGTTTCTCCTGATGTAGATCATGTTATTGAAGAAATAACTAGTCTTAGTTATTGCAGAGGCAGACAGAATCACCATTCTTGAAGAGTTTAGCAGACCTCCTATCTCTCTCTCTCTCTCTCACGCACACACACACACACAACATACACACACACACACACATATTTGTTAGGGTATCTTTATAATCCCAGGAAAGAGAGGCACACAAAAACTAGCCAAGTGGCATTTGCAGAAGAAGATGAGAGTGGTTGTTGTTCCCGGAGGGGACAGTGCACACTTTGTTTGGACACAGTGGTGGGAATCAGTGGTTTTTATTTTAACAGAAGTTGTGAGCAATTTCTTTCATATCTTGGCATATTTATCTGGGTCATTTAGAAATGAGAACTGATACGTAATGAACAGTGGCAGGTATAAAGAGCAGGATTTATACATATTTTAACAAGAAGATTCGAACTCCCTTGGATGTCAGTCTGTCTCTGTGATCCCCGTTGTTTGAGCACGTGAATCTTTTGTTCTCTGCGCCTTTTCACGCCCCTCGTGGATCATCAGGCCTCCTCAGCTACATCTTACACTCCTTCTTCTCCTTTCTCTACGCCTTTGCTCGTCTGCTCGCCCCTGAGCATCCCTCTATCCCATTTCCACTTGTCAAAATCCTAATGATTGATTCCCTGAACCAGTGATTCTCAAACCTGCTTCACCATGAGTTCACCTGAGTAGCTTTTCAAAAATACCTACTACCTCACACCCTGGAGAGTCTGGTGCAGCTGTTCAGTTGTGGGACTCAGAGTGAGGTCAGTTTGTAAGTCTCCTAGTGATTAGAAAGAGTATTCCGCTAATGCAGAGAATCACTGTCATAGATTTTCCTCTAATAATAAAACATGCCTTCCTCTTATATGTACCCACAGGTCTATGTTTGAACCACTTTTATGGAACTTTCCAGATCAGGCTTGTCTTTTGCATACATTCATTATGGCCCACAGTACAGTTGAGGTCTTTTGCTATCCTTTATCAATTTGTGTTAAATTAAATTATATTGGGTGGCACATTTTTGGTATCAAACAAGATTTTCAAATCCCAGCAAAGTCTATTGTATCGGTCAATAGCTATTCTTACGGGCACGCCTGGCCTCCCAGTACTGCCTCCTCCACAGAACTCGGTGGTGTGAGGCAGGTTCCCAGACACTGGGTTCCCGTCCTCTGGTCCCTGTAATGGGCCCAGGGGCGATTTTCTTGTCAAAGCAACTGCCGCAACTGTCAGCAACGTGCAAAGCCACACAGAGCGACCAGGAGAGATTCCACTGGAATCTCTCGGGAAGGAGACTTCAGTTTGAACGGGTTGAGGTGTCCGTGTTGATTGGAATGGCCTAAGAAGGATTTGGTTCTGCTGTTCCTGCCCATTGCCAGTTCTCAGATGGGCAGGGCTGGACCTGCAGATGCTCCCTGGGCTAACCCTCGCTGGGGGTGGGGAGCAAGGACGCCTTGGCGGGTACCGTGTGATACAGTGGAGAGGCAGGTTTTAAGTCCACATAGGCCGAGATTCAGAGCCCAGCTCAGCCCCTTTCTAGCTGAGCATCACTTGGTAAGATATTTAGCCTCTCTAAGGCTTCGTGTCCTTAGGATACAGTGATTACAATAATACGTGCTGGTGGAATGTTTTCTAATATACATATTCTTTATGCAAATATCCTGGCAAGTAGCAGATATTCAGAGTCCACATTTGACCTCCCGTCCCCTTGGCTCCCTCCCCTGTCCAGCGAAGACAGGAACA